GTATGGACCAGTACGGACCAGTATAAACCAGTATGGATGAGTATGGACCAGTATAAACCAGTACAAACCAGTATGGACCAGTATAGACCAGTACAAAGGAGTATGGACCAGTAAGGAACAATATAGACCAGTATAAACCAGTATGGACCAGTATAAACCAGTATAGACCAGTACAAAGGAGTATGGACCAGTAAGGAACAATATAGACCAGTATAAACCAGTATGGACCAGTATAAACCAGTATGCACCAATGGCTCACTATAATGGGGTGCCACCTTGGGCAGCCATCTTAGATTTGGTGTTTCGCAGCCATCTTGGGTGGCCATCTTGTAAGCTCCAATGGTGGCAGCCATATTGGACAAATCCTTTAAACTAATATAAACCTGTATAAACCAGTAAAACCAGTATAAACCAGTGTGGACAAATGGCTGGCCATAGTGGGGTGCCATCTTGGGCAGCCATCTTAGATTCGTTCTGTGGCAGCCATTTTGGGGGCCATCTTGGACATGCTGATGGTGGCAGCCATCTTGGGCAGCCATCTTAGAGTCATTCTGTGGCAGCCATTTTGGGGGGCCATCTTGGACACGCTGATAGAGGCAGCCATTTTGGGTAGCCATCTTGTAAACTCGAATGGTGGCAGCCATATTGGATAAATCCCTTAAACTAATATAAACCAGTATAACCCAGTATAAACCAGTATAAACCAGTGGGGCTCTGACCCGGGAAGAGGACGCGGGCGGCCATGCCGGGCAGCACCATCAGGAACATGGGCAGCACCTTGAGGTAGCCACAGACGACGCAGCCGGCGCGGACGTGGGTGAGGGAGCGGCCGGCGAGGCAGCGCTGCACGATCACCTGCGGGGGAGGGGCCCCATGCCGGGCAGCACCATCAGGAACATGGGCAGCACCTTGAGGTAGCCACAGACGACGCAGCCGGCGCGGACGTGGGTGAGGGAGCGGCCGGCGAGGCAGCGCTGCACGATCACCTGCGGGGGAGGGGCCAGTTACACACCAGTTAGAGACCAGTTACACACCAGTTAGAGACCAGTTAGAGACCAGTTACACACCAGTTAGAGACCAGTCACCCACCAGTTAGAGACTGGTTACAGACCAGTTACACACCAGTTAGAGACCAGTTTGAGACCAGTTACACACCAGTAACACACAAGTTAAAGACCAGTTACAGACCAGTCACCCACCAGTTACACACCAGTTACACCCCAGTTACACCCCAGTTACAGACCAGTTACACACCAGTTAGAGACCAGTTTGAGATCAGTTACACACCAGTAACACACAAGTTAAAGACCAGTTACAGACCAGTCACCCACCAGTTACACACCAGTTACACCCCAGTTACACCCCAGTTACAGACCAGTTACACACCAGTTAGAGACCAGTTTGAGACCAGTTACACACCAGTAACACACAAGTTAAAGACCAGTTACAGACCAGTCACCCACCAGTTACACACCAGTTACACCCCAGTTACACCCCAGTTACAGACCAGTTACACACCAGTTAGAGACCAGTTTGAGACCAGTTACACACCAGTAACACACAAGTTAAAGACCAGTTACAGACCAGTCACCCACCAGTTACACACCAGTTACACCCCAGTTACACCCCAGTTACAGACCAGTTACACACCAGTTAGAGACCAGTTTGAGACCAGTTACACACCAGTAACACACAAGTTAAAGACCAGTTACAGACCAGTCACCCACCAGTTACACACCAGTTACACCCCAGTTACACCCCAGTTACAGACCAGTTACACACCAGTTAGAGACCAGTTTGAGACCAGTTACACACCAGTAACACACAAGTTAAAGACCAGTTACAGACCAGTCACCCACCAGTTACACACCAGTTACACCCCAGTTACACCCCAGTTACAGACCAGTTACACACCAGTTAGAGACCAGTTTGAGACCAGTTACACACCAGTAACACACAAGTTAAAGACCAGTTACAGACCAGTCACCCACCAGTTACACACCAGTTACACCCCAGTTACACCCCAGTTACAGACCAGTTACACACCAGTTAGAGACCAGTTTGAGACCAGTTACACACCAGTAACACACAAGTTAAAGACCAGTTACAGACCAGTCACCCACCAGTTACACACCAGTTACACCCCAGTTACACCCCAGTTACAGACCAGTTACACACCAGTTAGAGACCAGTTTGAGACCAGTTACACACCAGTAACACACAAGTTAAAGACCAGTTACAGACCAGTCACCCACCAGTTACACACCAGTTACACCCCAGTTACACCCCAGTTACAGACCAGTTACACACCAGTTAGAGACCAGTTTGAGACCAGTTACACACCAGTAACACACAAGTTAAAGACCAGTTACAGACCAGTCACCCACCAGTTACACACCAGTTACACCCCAGTTACACCCCAGTTACAGACCAGTTACACACCAGTTAGAGACCAGTTTGAGACCAGTTACACACCAGTAACACACAAGTTAAAGACCAGTTACAGACCAGTCACCCACCAGTTACACACCAGTTACACCCCAGTTACACCCCAGTTACAGACCAGTTACACACCAGTTAGAGACCAGTTTGAGACCAGTTACACACCAGTAACACACAAGTTAAAGACCAGTTACAGACCAGTCACCCACCAGTTACACACCAGTTACACCCCAGTTACACCCCAGTTACAGACCAGTTACACACCAGTTAGAGACCAGTTTGAGACCAGTTACACACCAGTAACACACAAGTTAAAGACCAGTTACAGACCAGTCACCCACCAGTTACACACCAGTTACACCCCAGTTACACCCCAGTTACAGACCAGTTACACACCAGTTAGAGACCAGTTTGAGACCAGTTACACACCAGTAACACACAAGTTAAAGACCAGTTACAGACCAGTCACCCACCAGTTACACACCAGTTACACCCCAGTTACACCCCAGTTACAGACCAGTTACACACCAGTTAGAGACCAGTTTGAGACCAGTTACACACCAGTAACACACAAGTTAAAGACCAGTTACAGACCAGTCACCCACCAGTTACACACCAGTTACACCCCAGTTACACCCCAGTTACAGACCAGTTACACACCAGTTAGAGACCAGTTTGAGACCAGTTACACACCAGTAACACACAAGTTAAAGACCAGTTACAGACCAGTCACCCACCAGTTACACACCAGTTACACCCCAGTTACACCCCAGTTACAGACCAGTTACACACCAGTTAGAGACCAGTTTGAGACCAGTTACACACCAGTAACACACAAGTTAAAGACCAGTTACAGACCAGTCACCCACCAGTTACACACCAGTTACACCCCAGTTACACCCCAGTTACAGACCAGTTACACACCAGTTAGAGACCAGTTTGAGACCAGTTACACACCAGTAACACACAAGTTAAAGACCAGTTACAGACCAGTCACCCACCAGTTACACACCAGTTACACCCCAGTTACACCCCAGTTACAGACCAGTTACACACCAGTTAGAGACCAGTTTGAGACCAGTTACACACCAGTAACACACAAGTTAAAGACCAGTTACAGACCAGTCACCCACCAGTTACACACCAGTTACACCCCAGTTACACCCCAGTTACAGACCAGTTACACACCAGTTAGAGACCAGTTTGAGACCAGTTACACACCAGTAACACACAAGTTAAAGACCAGTTACAGACCAGTCACCCACCAGTTACACACCAGTTACACCCCAGTTACACCCCAGTTACAGACCAGTTACACACCAGTTAGAGACCAGTTTGAGACCAGTTACACACCAGTAACACACAAGTTAAAGACCAGTTACAGACCAGTCACCCACCAGTTACACACCAGTTACACCCCAGTTACACCCCAGTTACAGACCAGTTACACACCAGTTAGAGACCAGTTTGAGACCAGTTACACACCAGTAACACACAAGTTAAAGACCAGTTACAGACCAGTCACCCACCAGTTACACACCAGTTACACCCCAGTTACACCCCAGTTACAGACCAGTTACACACCAGTTAGAGACCAGTTTGAGACCAGTTACACACCAGTAACACACAAGTTAAAGACCAGTTACAGACCAGTCACCCACCAGTTACACACCAGTTACACCCCAGTTACACCCCAGTTACAGACCAGTTACACACCAGTTAGAGACCAGTTTGAGACCAGTTACACACCAGTAACACACAAGTTAAAGACCAGTTACAGACCAGTCACCCACCAGTTACACACCAGTTACACCCCAGTTACACCCCAGTTACAGACCAGTTACACACCAGTTAGAGACCAGTTTGAGACCAGTTACACACCAGTAACACACAAGTTAAAGACCAGTTACAGACCAGTCACCCACCAGTTACACACCAGTTACACCCCAGTTACACCCCAGTTACAGACCAGTTACACACCAGTTAGAGACCAGTTTGAGACCAGTTACACACCAGTAACACACAAGTTAAAGACCAGTTACAGACCAGTCACCCACCAGTTACACACCAGTTACACCCCAGTTACACCCCAGTTACAGACCAGTTACACACCAGTTAGAGACCAGTTTGAGACCAGTTACACACCAGTAACACACAAGTTAAAGACCAGTTACAGACCAGTCACCCACCAGTTACACACCAGTTACACCCCAGTTACACCCCAGTTACAGACCAGTTACTGGGAATGGACTCAGAGGGAACTGGGAGGGAACTGGGAATGAACTGGGATATAGTGGGAGGGACCGGGAGGGACTGGGATAAACTGGGATGAACTGGGAATGGACTGGGAGGGAACTGGGATGAACTGGGAATGGACTGCGATATAGTGGGAGGGACCAGGAGGGACTGGGATAAACTGGGAATGGACTGGGATAAAGTGGGATGGACTGGGAGGGAACTGGGATGAACTGGGAGTGAACTGGGAGGGAACTGGGTGGGACTGGGATCCCTCCCTGTATCATCCCAGTTCCCTCCCAGTATAAACCAGTCCCAAACCAATACAAACCAGTATAATCCAGTCCAAACCAGTATAAACCAGTACCGAGATCTGGGTGCTGACGTAGAGCCCCAGGGACAGCAGTGCCAGCTAGAGCTGGTAGTCCCAGTCCCTCCCAGTATAAACCAGTATAACCCAGCGCCCTCCCAGTATAAACCAGTACAAACCAATATAAACCAGTTAAAACCATTATAAACCAGTTTAAACCATTATAAACCAGTTTAAACCAGTAAAAAACAGTATAAACCAGTCTCAGTCCATTCCCAGTCCCTCCCAGTTCCCTTCCAGTCCCTCACAGTTCCTTTCCCAGTTCCTCCCAGTCCAAACCAATATAAACCAGTTAAAACCATTATAAACCAGTTAAAACCAGTTTAAACCATTATAAACCAGTTAAGACCAGTATAAACCAGTAAAAACCCATCCCAGTTCCATCCCAATTCCCTCCCAGTCCCTCCCACTCCCTCCCACTCTCAAACCAGTACAACCCAGTCCCTCCCAGTTCCCTCCCAGTCCAAACCAGTCCAAACCAGTATAAACCAGTATAAACCAGTATAAACCAGTACCGAGATCTTGGTGCTGACGTAGAGCCCCAGGGACAGCAGCGCCAGGTAGAGCCGGATCCGCCCCCCCCCGAAGCGCCGGCCCAGGTACTCAGGCATGGTGCTCACCTGGACACGCCCACACGGGCCACGCCCACAACCCATTAGGCCACGCCCAGTTAGACCATAACTGGTTAGGCCACGCCCAATTTGCAATTCTGCCACCCCCATTTTGACCCAGTCCTGTTAGGCCATGCCCGTCCCTCCCACTCCCTCCCACTCTCAAACCAGTACAACCCAGTCCCTCCCGGTTCCCTCCCAGTCCAAACCAGTCCAAACCAGTATAAACCAGTATAAACCAGTATAAACCAGTACCGAGATCTTGGTGCTGACGTAGAGCCCCAGGGACAGCAGCGCCAGGTAGAGCCGGATCCGCCCCCCCCCGAAGCGCCGGCCCAGGTACTCAGGCATGGTGCTCACCTGGACACGCCCACACCGGCCACACCCACAACCCATTAGGCCACGCCCAGTTAGACCATAACTGGTTAGGCCACGCCCAATTTGCAATTCTGCCACCCCCATTTTGACCCAGTCCTGTTAGGCCATGCCCATTTAAGCCACACCCACATCTGGACCAATTTAGACCACACCCCTTCAGGCCACGCCCACACCAGATCCACTTAGGCCACGCCCATTTGGATTCCACCCATATATGGACCCATTTAAGCCACGCCCACACCCGGATCCACTTAGGTCTCACCCAATCCCAATTAGGCCAGGCCCATTTGGACTCTGCCCATATATGGACTGATTTAAACCACGCCCACCAAGGACACACCCACAACCCACCTGACACTCCCCCTTTAGGCCACGCCCACTCCCATTTAACCCATGCCCATTTATTAACGCCACACCCACTTAGGTCACACCTCCCATATTTAGACCCCCTTTAGGCCACGCCCATTTTGACCACACCATGTTAGGCCACGCCCAGTTAGGCCCCACCCAACCTGGAACCATTTAGGCCACGCCCAGACTCTTAAGACCACGTCCTCCCCTCCCAGTTACCTCCCAGTTCATTCCCAGTCCCTCCCAATCAATTCCCAGTATAACCCTGTCCATCCCAGTATAAACCAGTATAAACCAGTATGGACTGTCCCAATCCCCTCCCAGTCCAAACCACTGCTCCCAATTCCACCTGGCTGCTGTCCTTGGCGGCCATCTTGGATTGCATTATTGGCCGCCATTTTGAATTGCTAGCTCACTTAACACTATAAACCAGTATAAACCAGTATAAACCAGTATAAACCAGTATAAACCAGTACCGAGATCTTGGTCCTCACCCCGGCTCTCATGTAGATGGGCACGAACACCCAGCCCAGCAGCAGCACGATGAACATGCCCTGGGGGGGGGAAGGGGGAGGGGCGTGTCACAATAAGGGCGTGGCCACGTCCCGATTGGGGGGGCGGGGCCAAGGCTGGGTGGGGGAAGGCGATATTGCAACAGAACCACCAGGGGGCGCCGTTATATCGCGATAGAACCATCAGGGCTTTTTTATATCGCGACAGAACCAGCAGGGGGCGCTGTTGGGGACCCCGATATCGCGATAGAACCATGGGGGAGGGTTGCTATATCGCGACAGAACCAGCAGGGGGCGCTCTTAGGGACCCCGATATCGCAACAGGACCGCCGCTGGGGGGCGATATATCGCGATACACCGCGATACACCGCGATATATCGTGATATAAAGCAGCCTATCGCGACATATCGCGACATATCGCGACTCAGGGGACACTCGAAGCCTCCCACGGCGATGCCGCCGGCCGCGCCCGTCCCCGCCAGCCCCACGAAGTGCCCGGAGCCGATGTTGCTGGCAAAGAGAGACGCCCCCACCTGGGGGGGAGGGGAGGGGACGGAGTGACCCCGGAGTGACCCCGGAGTGACCCCAAAAATGACCCCAAAGTGACCCCTCCATTCCCAGTATAAACTGGTTCAGACCAGTTCAAACCAGATCAAAACCAGTACAAAACCAGTTCAAACCGTTATAAACTGGTTCAAATCAGTATAAACCAGTAAAAAACCAGTATAAACCAGTATAAAACCAGCTCAAACCAGTATAAACCAGTACAAAACCAGTTCAAACCATTATAAACTGGTTAAAACCAGTATAAACCAGTACAAAACCAGCTCAAACCAGTATAAACCAGTACAAAACCAGTTCAAACCGTTATAAACTGGTTCAAGCCAGTATAAACCAGTAAAAAAACAGTATAAAACCAGCTCAAACCAGTATAAACCAGTATAAAACCAATTCAAACCAGTACAAACCAGTACAAACCAATATAAAACTACTTTAAACCAGTTCAAACCAGATCAAAACCAGTTCAAACCGGTATAAACCAGTATAAAACCAGTTCAAACCAGTCTAAACCAATACCTCTCACTCCCTCCTAGCCCCTCCCGGTATAAACCAGTATAAACCAGTATAAACCAGTATAAACCAGTTCAAACCAGTTCAAACCAGTCCCTCTCAATCCCTCCCAGTACAAACCAGTTTGGACACTCACCGGAGCCCAGGTCATGCTGCGTCCGGCCAGGAAATACCCGGAGAGGCTCCGCCCACCTCGCCTGCGCAGGGACTGGGACCAGTACAAACCAGTATAAACCAGTACGGACCAGTATAAACCAGAATGGACCCTCCCAGTCCAAACCAGTGCTCCCAGTCCCACCCGGCTGCTGTTGTTGGCAGCCATCTTGAATAACTCACTTGGCGGCCATCTTGGATTACATTATTTGGCCGCCATCTTGAATTGCTAGCCCGTTTAGTTTTATAACCCAGTATAAACCAGTATAAACCAGTATGGATCAGAATGGACTGGTATGGACCAGTATAAACCAGTATAAACCAGTAAAGACTAGATTTTTGGGTTGAATTTCCAGGATTTGGGGATTTTCAGGGTGAATTTTGGGGGGGGATTTTAAGGATTTTGGGGTTTTTTAGGTTCATTTTTTGGGGTGAATGTCCAGAATTTTAGGGGATTTTTGGGTGGATTTTTTGGGTGGATTTTTTGGGTGAATTTTCGGGATTTTGGGATTTTTTAGGTGGATTTTTGGGGTGAATTTCCAGGATTTTGGGATTTTTAGAGCGGATTTTTTTAGTTTGGATTTTTGAGGGTGAATTTTTGGGGTGATTTTGTTTGGATTTTGGGATGAAATTCCAGGATTTTGGGGGTTTTTAGGTTGATTTTTTAAAAATATTTAGGGTGAATTTTTGGGGTGATTTTTTTCTGGATTTTTGGGGTGATTTTCCAGGATTTTGGGGATATTTTATGATGGATTTTTTGGGGGACGTGATTTTCAGGATTTGTGAATTTTCCCGCCGCCCCCGCGCGACCCCGCTGGACCCAAGGGGGGGGGGAGGGGCCGCCCCTCCCCCACCCCCGGAGCGGGTTCGGACCCGGGTGGGGGAGGGGCGGCGTTTGGAGCGTTTCGGGACAAATTTGGGGCATTTGGGGACAATTTCGTCATTTCGGGTCATTTTTGGGTCAATTTTTGGTCATTTTGCGTCAAATTTTGGCCATTTTTGGTAATTTTTGGTGTCATTTTTGGGTCATTTTTTGATCCATTTTTGACTAATTTTTGGGTCATTTTTAGGTCATTTTTAGGTCAATTTTTGGTCATTTTGAGTCAATTTTTGGCCATTTTTGGTAATTTTTGGTGTCATTTTTGGGTCATTTTTTGATCCATTTTTGACTAATTTTTGGGTCATTTTTAGGTCATTTTTAGGTTATTTTGGGGTCATTTTTTGTCATTTTGGGGTCGTTTTTGAGTCATTGTTGTGTCCATTTTTGGGTCATTTATGGTTTAATTTTTGGTCATTCTGGGGTCAATTTTGGGTCATTTTAGGGTCAATTTTTGAGTAATTTTTGGTCCATTTTGTGACCATTTTGGGCCATTTTTGAGACATTTTGGGTCCAATTTTGGGTCAATTTTTGCGTCATTTTTGGGTCAATTTTTGGCAATTTTTGGGTCAATTTTTGCATCATTTTTGGGTCAATTTTTAGCAATTTTTGGGTCAATTTTTGGGTCAATTGTGAGTAATTTTGGGGCCATTTTTGGGTGATTTTGTGACAATTTTGGGGTCATTTTTGGGTGATTTTGGGGCCATTTTTCTGTCATTTTTTGAGACCATTTTCAGGTCATTTCTGAGTGATTTTTGAGACGATTTTCAGGTCATTTTTTGACCATTTTTTGCGTCATTTTTTGACATTTTTGGGTCATTTGGAGACGAGTTTTGGACCATTTTTCATTTAATTTTGTGAGTTATTTTTGAGTCATTGGGGATTATTTTTGGGTCACTGATGGCATTTTTTGGGTCATTTTGGGCCATTTTCCCGTCATTTTTTAGTAATTTTTAAACCATTTGGGACAATTTTTTAAGTAATTTTTGCATCATTTTGGGACCAAATTTAGGATCATTTTGGGGCCATTTTGGGATCATTTCAGGACCATTTTATGCCCTTTATTGAGCAATTTTTGGGTCATATTAGTGACAATTTTGGGGGGTTTTTTAGCCATTTTTGGGACCATTTTTCTGTCATTTTTTGGTTCATTTTTGAGCCATTTTAGGACAACTTTGGGGTCATTTTTGGGCCACTTTTTGGATCATTTTGGGGCCATTTTTGGATCATTTTAGAGTCAAATTTGGGAGAAATTTTGAGTAATTTTTGAGCCATTTTGGGATAAGTTTCAAGCAATTTTTGGACCATTTTTGGGCCATTTTTTGGGCCTTTTTTCACCATTTCAGGGCTGTTTTTCTTTCATTTTTGAGCCATTTTTGGGTCATTTCAGGCCATTTTTTGACCTTTTTTATTTCATTTTTTCCCCATTTTCTCCGTTTTCTCCCCCATTTTCCTCCAGGAACCTCCGGAGCCTCCCGGGGTAGTCGGTGATGACTCCGGTGGCGCCGAGGCCGAAGGCTTCCGCGAAGTCCCGCTCCTCGTTCAGCACCCACAGCCACACCTGGGGGGGGTGGGGGAGGG